AAATAATTACATTTATTAGGTCTTGTAAAAAGAAAGATATCCATTTATAAATTCTTAGAAAAATTGTGAGAAGATACATACGGAGTATTTCACATGTAAACTTTAACACAATAATAAAACAATTCTTGAATCATATAATTCACAAAAAGGATTTGTTTTAAATAAAAAAATAGGAACAAAAGCAGCAAAAAAAAAAAAAGAAACATTCAACAAACACAGTCACAAGTCTTTGGTTGCTTTGTCCATGGGTCATCACAAATTAATAATCATAGTGCACAGATGTTAAACTAAAATCCGACAAAAAGAATCTGCACAACAAGTTTGTCTTCTCAGAGGGCATGAAACTTCCTTAGTTTCTCAACTTCAAGAATCTGAATCTGTTGGAGCTAGGAACCACCACTGCCTGATTTGGTCGAGAATCCTTCACATTTTAAGCCCTCATTTGTTTGCTTAGAAGAAACCTTCTCCAGCTCTGAAATGGTATCCTGTTCCAAATATTGATTCAGAATCTCTGTCTTTTTTTTTAGATTTTTGATGATTTTAATAAATCTTAATGTTCTTAGGCCATCGAATTCTCGGGACATCCACTTCGCAAGGCATCACTGTCCAGGCTGCTCGTCCGATCCCTGATCCCTACCTGCATACATAATTCAGTGAGTACGGGAAGATCTAAAACTAGAACATATAATGGCTTCAGGGTTGGTCCCGAGAATTCGATGGCCTGGGCCGAGAGAGAAATAAAGGCCCTAAAAGCAATATTCTTAAGAGGAATTTTACTCAAATAGCACTAAAACATAATGACTTTCCCTAAATAGCACCACATGTGTTTTTCTTCCCAATATAGCACTTTTAGTCATTATGCATTAGTCATTATTCAAGCAAATATTCGTCATCACTGGACATTATGGATATTATTAAGTACTATTTAGAGAATAAAACAATTGAATAAAACAATTTAAGTGCTATCGAGAAAAATGATATGTTCAACAATTTAAGTGCTTACCTTCTCTAAGTGATCGTCCGAAAAAAAAGGATGAACCTCATCCCCGAGGGCTTCTTCAGATCCGCTCGGACGATCACTTAGAGAAGGTAAATAGGACTTTAATCGCAAATTGGTGACAAAGAGTAGAGCCTGCACCTGATACCTGCAGAAGTTCTATGCTTACCATAATTGCCTCCCAACACAGTTGTGAGAAATTGAACTCAGATCTTACTCCCTTG